TAATTTTTGAACTAGGAACCCGCGCCAATTTGCGATTCTAACCTAACTAATATGATGAAAATAACTCTTTTTTAGATCTTGCTTGTATCTTCCTCTTAACGTTTTTTGTTAGCTGACGTCGACAATGGTGCTACACCTCTTATGACCGTGATGGAACCTTTGACCGTGATGGAACCTTTGACCGTGATTACCAAGAACAAGGCCGATAAGCAATCTTGCAGTAGTGTGTATTATCCTTGCAAAAGTTCAGGGTCGTTCGGGGTTCGGAGTCCGGGTATACATTAATGCTCTATTCACTTTAAGAGCAGTAAAGCAGGACGCGCACTGAATCGACTCGGACCGGTCGACTCGGCGAAGAGCATTCGGTAGTTTTTGATACTCATGCAATTAAATGACCACGTCGAGTCGACGAGTCCGATGCCGTGCGCGGAGTCTCATTTAATTGCATGAGTATCAAAAACTACCGAATGCTCTTCGCCGAGTCGACCGGTCCGTGTCGATTCAGTGCGCGTCCTGCTTAAGAGTACGTAGAAAAAAACTGCCCAGGGACTCTGTGTCTTGTCGAATTCTACATATCGACAGAATTCTATAGGCTCGGCCGGCTTTTTGTGCAAGTTGCGGGCTGTGCGGCATTCGATATGTCGAATACTACATGGCACGGAGTCCCACCACTGATTTGACTCCACTCCAACTTCGGCTAGCTTACTGCTACATTCCTTAAATTTGTTTTTTTTTAAAGATAAAAGTCAGAATGACATTATGTTGGCAATACAATGTAATGTCAATGCTTTCAAATTTTTTATGTAGAAAAGGCTTGTGTTGCCAACTTACTAAATTTTTGACTTAGGGAATTGGGAATTACCTATCTTTATTTAAAATTAGCAAGTATATGGGGGCAGGACCCAAGAATCGTAAACTCTACAGGATTGCTCAATCGGCTAAATTTGTTCACAATTGCTGTGACGTCACGCGCATGCCGGATTTTCAAGATGGCCGCTGATACGAATGATGTTTAGTTTGTGCTGACAACTATTTTATCGTAAATTCGGATTTATCTAGTGTTATAAGTGTAAATTTAAAGTTTCATTTAATGTGTGTAAGCATAAAAGACTCGTGGCTGAAAATACTCGCGAAAACCCCAAGCATTTTCTGGTTTTATAATACTGGATTTGTTGTATCAGGACATCGCTCTTTTATTTGTGTGTATTGCTAGTTAGTATTTCCTAGTCAAGCATTTGTATTGCTTTTTTTTGTAAATCAAATATCTACTTAGTTGTAAGTTTCCTTTGCATGTAATTACTAATAAAAATTAGGGTTTGTGAAGAGTGAATAAATAAATATGTAAATAAATTCCTTTACTGGCGCGTTTACTATGAAAACGCATGGAAAATATGGGAAACTTGCAATGTTTTTCTGGAATATGATTATGAGAATCTAAATTAGGTATCACTATTTGGCTTTGTGAAATAAGCTCACTTTGAATGTCCATATTAAATCGTTCTAGTACCTATTAAATTAATGAATAATTATTGAGAAGTACCTAGGTAGGGTCAGTAAAAAATAAAGCACACTATTGCAACCCCGTTTCGCTTATATTTTGATATTGAAATGCAAAAATTAAACCGGCTCGGCACCCCACATTTGGTTTTCTACTGTTTCTCAACTGTAGTCAATTGTGCCCGTTTTGTGCTCAATTGTGCCAGTATTTATGCGAATTGTGCTCATTTTCATACACAAAAAAAACATTGAAACGAATCCGGGGGCCAGCTTGACTCCAGCCCTTCGTTTTTTTGACTTTTTGGCAATATGTTTGGCTAATTGATAAACAAAAGCAAACAAACTCGTCTTTCTAATTAGCAATTAGCCAACCACTCAAGCCTCAAGGACACAAGCTTTTGAAGTCTGCTAATTTTAAAATCAATAAATTAATTACAAAATACAGTTTTCAAAGGAAATAACCTCAAAATAACAATTTTTCACGTTTGAAAATGCAAGGATAGTGCACTGTCATAAAAAACACAAACCGATCAAGGACTGCGTGACGTCATTCGCATACCGCCATCTTCGATGTTTTTATGAACGTTTGTCTTATGGGATTGAGCAATCCTGTAGAGTTTACGATTCTTGGGCAGGACCTATAAGGCGATTTTCAGCCTGAGCCGCTTTCCAGTGCCTAAATTGTTAGAGTATCATGCTCCTGAAGTGTGACGCTCTTGAACTGTTCGACATAAGCAGCACTGGAACGCTCTCGTCTTAACCCCCCACCATTTCGGATTTCAGGAGCATGAAACACAGACAAATGGGTTGGTGCACGAGGGGGCAGGGGATAACAGAAATGAGTAGCTCAAGTGTACGACACTCTAAGCACTGGAACGCGCAAAGCAATTGTGGAGCACTCCTGAGCTGCTCAGGAGTAACTCAAATGGGTCACTGGAAAGCGAGTCTGGAATGATTATTATTTGGTTATAACCAATGCATTTCCGCCGTCGCGGTTTTAACCAAAGTAGGGGAAGTTGTGATGTCACATATCAGCTGATTTGCTTTTGGTATTTACCACTTATAACCGATTATAACCCAGCTTTGGACTTGGGTTAATCTTTTGGTTACAGCTTTTTGATGTTATTGTTATTATTTTGGGAATTGGTATTGGTGTTTTGTGATTTTGCAGTTGTGTTGTGGCCTGGCACAATGGAAGAAGTATATGCTCACTTACTCACTGCAATTCACCATGTTTAGATCGAGGTTTAGATCATCCCCAAAGAAAATCTGTTCGATAAACGAGACTAACGAGAGATTCCGCTCCATTTTTTGTACCTAAACAACAAACCATTGTTGAAACGAAAAAACAAATAGGAATAATAAACATAATCCTACACTGCTATAACCAAATCATTTCAGCGATCAGTTCCTTGGGTTATGATTCTTGAGTGGTGGGGGGCTGTGACGTCACACTTGGCTGTCAAAGTTGTCAACAAAAAGAATAACCACGGTATTTACCGATAAATAATCATTCCAGGCTGAAAATCGCCTCTATTAGGTCTGTTCCCACAGGAGTCTCTGACAGTTTGCAACCTGTCAGAAACAATCGCTCAGCTGAGTTAAAAATTAATCTTGGAACGATTGCATTGAAAACCTGAATGGGCGATACTTACTGACAGTTTGCAAATTGTCAAAGACTCCTGTGGGAACAGACCCATTGTCGCCACTACAGTGGCTAAATAAACCTTTACATACAGTGGCGACAATAGAGGTCCCGCCGCCATCTTGTTCCCAACCTCTTGTTACTTTTAAATATTAATACATAGGATTTGAATGGACATCTATCATAAAACATTGAAATCGACGTATTTGATAACCATTATTAGGTCCATCAAATACGTTGTTTTCCATGATTTATGATGGATGTTCACCTAAGGCCCGGTTGTACAATGGACGTTCAACCGAAGTTCACACTGACTAGTGGTTCAAAGGAAAAAACTCGTACATGGTCGGTTCAGAGTGTGAACTGAGGTTGATCTTGAACGTCCGAATTTGGGCGTTCAAGGGGAGTTCAAGTCTTTTTTTGGGTTTTTCTAACCTGACTCTCCTATGTTTTGTTTGTTTTTTGATAAGGGATCACCATGGCTTTTGAATATATATTTTTTTTCAAGTGGATATTCGTTATTTTATATTTAATTGAAAATGGATCTTGAGTGGGAACTGTGGGAAGATATTACAGATGACGAAGATTTTTAAAAATTACTTAATTTTATGTTGCATATAAATTATATACTTCCTCGAGCCCCACAGATATTCAGAAATCAAATAGCGAACAGATCATTTGAACATTTGTAATGATAAAGAATAATTCAAGGACAGATTCAGTTTGGAGAAACAAGCAGTGTGATTTATCATAGATGAAATTATGCATCTGTGTCCTGTGACCTGTCCTGTGTGTAAAAAAATATGAAAATTAAAATTAAATAAATAGTAGGCCGGCCTAAATAGTAAACAAGAAAACACAAAAAATAAACAATGAATTTGATAGGTTATGGGTTGGGCTGTGGTTGCGCCTATTTTCTTTCTTCTTTTTATTGTGGGCATTGCAACTGATGGTTCAGGTAAACCGGCAGTGGTACAACACTCGAAACTCTGAACCACGTTCAACATTGAACCACGGTTCAACAGAACTTGTGTTGAACCATTCTTTGTACAACCGGGCCTATATCCCATATATTCATATTTAAAAGTAACGAGAGGTTGTGAGCAAGATGGCGGCGTTTTCAATATAAATATATGGGATTTTAGAACCAATCAAAAATAAGACAGTAATTGTCGCCACTGTGGTAATAGAGTCACTGAAGTCGCCACTGTAGGTAGAAAAGGTTTATTGCGTCTGTAACTAAATATAGCTGGGTTCGGCTTGTACACCCCGTGCACTCCGAGTGACTCCGTTCGCACTCCAGCCGTTGTCTGATTCATAAAAGGCAGTACCCGAACGGCTGGAGTGCGAACGGAGTCACTCGGAGTGTGCAAGCCGAACCCAGGGCCTGGATTCCGAACCCACGATTCGATAGTATCGTCCATATGAAATAGACAGACGATACTATCGAATCGTGTGCTCGGAATCCGGGCTTAGCTTCTGTAGCCGAACCCAGCTAGGTTTTTGAACTACCCCATCGACCTTGACCCATGAGGCAACCAATGGACGCAACCAACATACCATTTGCCATTGAAGAAAAAATAAAAAAGACCATGTAGCATCATCATAACCCAACTTTTTGACTTCAAAATTTTTTAAATTTGTTTTGAAAATTTAAATTAATTTTCTTCCCTATCAGAAATACAAAAGGCCATTAAACTACGCTTAAACAATAATTAGTAAAAATCTAGAGAACCACTAATGTACTTAAAAAACTGATATTGTAGGTAAAACTTAGGTACAAAACTACTGTTTTCTTAACTATATGCCATAATAAAAAATCTTTATTTTTTCAAAAAATTATTTATATACACAAATAATGTCTCATATACAAAGAGTCAAGACCCTATACAAGCTCATATTAAAACTACACAAAGGTCTGCCCCAAGAGTTTCAAATTATTGGAACCAATTACACTAGAGACGAATTTAGAAGACATAAGACTTGCACCCCACCTGAGGCAAATATTTTCATGAATGAATGGACAGTAAGTATTTCTTGTCTAAAATAAAGCAATTTTTGATAAAAACTTGCTTGTTTAATCTTTGTAGAATTACGCAATAACTCTAGCTAAACAATTAGGAGTGAAAAATGAAACCGATAAAACTAAATTTGGTGATGAACTTCCCACAGAGATACTGGAAAATTTACGTGACGAACAAATTGTACAATTATATGAATTAATGGAGGCTGCAAAGGCACCAAAAAATTTCAGAGTTGACCAGAAAAGCTAGCACCTTTTATATAAATCCAATATGTTTCGAGTTGTGAAAAGCAAATAATGGACAATTTGTAGTAGGCTAGTAACATTTTTATTAAACCAATAAGTATAAAATTCTAGTCAATACTAGCTGAAATGTAGCATTGAGTCACTGATCACAAAGTAAAAAATGGAAATTAAATCTAGTTAATTATTTAGGCTAAATTAACGTAAGTAGGAGTGCACATAACTCCGCAATTATTATTCTCAGAGGACATCAAAACGTAACCATCATTACCCCAATAGTTTGACCAACTGTTCTTGACAAGCCAGTAATTTTTACCATTCATGGTTCCGTATCCTACTGCTAGGACTGCATGGTCCAGATCTTGTTCAGTATTGCCACTAGAAGAAAAAAAATCGGTCCTGTATATTGTTGTATTTTAATTATAACCATACCATTTCTCATCATAATAAACACCATTAGAGTAAAAACTGAAAGTTTTATGGCTAGCATCAATGGCAACGCTAATAGGTCCATGTTTGAATATAGCCAATCTGAGAGCTTGTTCATTGTTAGCTGTCACATTTACCCAGCTGCTGATTTTGGCTACTTTTGGTACTTTGTTTGCATGGCAATACCCATCCTGAATAATAATAAAAATTGATTATATTATACTTATATACATCATTCAAATTGTTACCTGTCCCAAATAAGGACCATAATCTTCTTCAGTAGGAACTCCTCCGTGTTTTAACATCCATTGGTAAGCTCTAAAATCTTCTCCACCATCGCACCCATTGTTTCCATATCTATTAAAATAAAAGTTTTACAACAAATACTTTATAATAAATAGAACAATCATTACCCCCAGGAACAATCAATTAAAGCTTGCTGAGACAAACGTACAAGCTTTCCACCATTTTTCAAAAAGTAAGCACCTTCGATGGCTCCAATTGTACCAAAGGACCAGCAAGAACCACACACAGATTGATCTAAAAAAAAAATTCATCAATTTATTCACAAATATTCAATAACACCTTCACCTTTTACTGGAGTAACAGCCCCGTATAGTCTCCAGTCCCATTGGTCTGGTACATCGGTATAGTTAGAGCTAGTATATGGGAAAGGTAGCCCGCCGTTGTATTCTCCTGAGTAGCTTTTACCTCTAAGGGCTTTTAGTTCGTTGTCAGATTTATCAGCAAGGTGGTTGACAGTTAAGGAGAATCCTGAAAAAAAAATCTATAAAAACACATCACATTCACTTATAACTTCAATCAATGTTAACAAAATGTATTGTTGCCTCATGCCATATTTGTATGCTATGTAGTTTAAGGTTTTAGTTGTTTGCCACATGCCAATGACAGCATAACTCGGAAAAATGTGGAAAACCAGGGAAATATGGGAAAAATAACCTATCTTTTTATTAACCTTTTCTAAATAATTAATTTATTAAAAATGTTTCCAAAAGGGTTGCTCAAAAAGTACTGTGTGCACCACGGTCGGAAAGCAATTTCGACCCGTGCTTGATACACAATGTACTATTATGTTTCAGGTAAACTGTAATCATGTGTGACGAAAAGCCGCTAAGTCTTGAGCGACATAAAGCATTAACAATATTACAGAAGAAAAGATGTATTATTTATTTTGAAGAAAACAAATCAGACAATATTCTTCGATCACCCTGACCCCGATATCGACGTTACGATAACAACTTATGTAAGCAGAGCTTCTATTGATAATCCAACACTATCAGATTTCTTCTGGCTATGGTGCAGAGCAAGAATTAACAAAACATACCACCTACCTGAATGGTCAGAATGGGTCTCAGAAGCATTAAATATTGAAGGTGAACAGAGGCCTTTAACTCTAGGCTACATGACACCAATTACTTCGCCAATTACAGAATATTCTACTATTCAAGAAATCCTGACACAATCGCAAAAGGCGACAGAAAAAACTGGACAGGTTTATACATTTGTTACACTAGATTTGGCGGCTGCCATCAAAGCTTATGTTGTGCAATGGCATACCAAGAATCTTCGAGACATAATTATTACCGTTGGTGCTTTTCATACGAACTATTCCTATTTTGGCTGCTTAGGTAAACTGATGAGTGGCTCTGGCTTTGAAGATGTTTTAATTGAATCAGGAATATGTGCAAGTGGTTCTATTGCAAAAGTATTATCAAGAAAACATTATAACAGAGCTATTAGAGTCCATGACAATGAATCCTGAAAAAACTCCGGATGCTGAAGGACTAAAAGCAATTGAAAACCTCGCAGAAAACCCGTCACATTCTAATTTGACATCTGCGAATAAAAAAAGATCTTGTCAAACATTTTACAAGCACTACCAAACTTTCTTGATCGAAGTAAGCGAAGGGAAACTGGGTAAAACAGCACAATTTTGGGTAAGTTACATGGACAAAGTGTTATTGATTGTAAGGTTTCAGCAACTAAACTAAAGAAATAGTATATTGTGTATTTAGGTGGAAAAGTGACCCATTCTCGGTCGACGGTGTAAGTTGACAGGCAAGGCGTAGCCGAGGCCGGAGGTCGAGAATGTGCTTTTCCACCGAAATACACATACTATTTTTTCTGCGATCGGTTAAATATCTGTCTTTTTGTTCCAATTTTTCAGCAGTACGAGAATCACTTTCCTGGCCTAGGCCGGAAAAGTAATTCCTGTATTGTTATTCATTGATTCCTTAGTAACTATTGAAACATAATTGAAATACCAGAATATTGGGTTTTGCGACGTGTAAACCGATCAAAAACGTTGACATTTCTTGTCAATCGCAGAAAAATAACTTTTTCTGAGATTGACAAGAAATGTTTTTTTCTGCGATTGACAAGAAATGTCAGCATTTTTGACCGGTTAACAGGTCGCAAAACTCAATATTCTGTTATTTCATTTATGTTTCAATAGTTGCTACGGAATCAATGAATAACAATACGGGAAACACTTTTCCGGCTTAGGCCAGGAAAGTGATTCTCGTACTGCTGAACAATTGGAACAAAAATACAAACGTTTAACAAATATTTAACCGATCTCAGAGAAAATAGTATGTGTATTTCGGTGGAAAAGCACATTCTCGGCCTTCGGTGTTGGCCAGCCTCGGCTACGCCTCGCCCGTCAACTTACACCGCCGGCCGAGAATGTGTCACTTTTCCACCTAAATACACAATATACTATTGACTTACACTTGCCATGTTTGAAAGATATGATTCACCTTTTCTTTGTACGTGACCATCACAATTATGACAGGTATCTTGTAATCTATTTGCTCAGTCTTTTGAACCTGCAAAGAACACACCCAGGAGCTGAAGACCCTCCTAACATTGAGGCATGCATTTATATAAATAATGGCATTGCTTACTTTCAGGCTCTCATTAACATTCCAGAAACCTTTGGTGATCTAGCCGAGATAATATTAAGCCACTTTCCAAAATTATAAGAATAGATTTCGTGACAGATACTTACTTAGAAGTACCTATCTATTAAAAACATTGAAAGATTGAGAAGGGGTTGTGGAGATACATTCCTAATAAAAAGTCCCAAGACCCAGATTCCCCGTGATTGGAAGTAATGGCAAAAACAAGGAACAACTTGTCAACAAATTGAATGGAAACATGACAAATATGCCCATTATTTTCATGGTAAAAACGTTTACCTACTTATTGCACAATAACTAGTGCATGTAGTTTACTAGTAAATATGGTTCAACTGTAAATTATACTGTACAAGAAGAGCTATGCTCTTCACAAGAGGAAGCAGATACTAAATTTATTCTACATTGCTTCCATGCTGTTCAATCTCGTCAAGATAAATTGCCTATAAGAATTAGGTCACCAGACACAAATGTTTTATTTATTATTTAATTAAAAAGCAAATAAGAAAAGACCTATATAAGAGCCACATTTCCAACCAAGGAAGAAGCCCTGCAAGTGCTTAGACTGAAAAGTAAACTAGAGCAAAGTGACACATATATCAAGTATGACCTCACTCCTAGTCAACGTACCTATCTAAAAACAGTAATCTCAGAGTTAGAAACCAGAAAAGCTGAAGGTGAGACTTAGACATAGACTTAACTATAAAATACCAAAACAATATTCCAAAGATTGTGAAAGCTTTTACTAGGGCAGCTTTAAAAAACTAAATTCTCAAACTGTATTTGAAGTCTTCTTCTGGTACAGCAACTTCTGTTCAATTGTACCAAAAGTCGATAAATTTAAAGCTAGCATTAACAAAATAAATCCAACCATTGCATTAATAACTGAGTCATGGCTACGCTCAGATCTTTCTGACAGTTTTGTTCATTTTCCTGATTACACATTTTTTCGCTTAGATAGGCATAACCAAACAGGAGGAGGTATCTGCATTTTTGTCAAAAATACAGAAGCAGGTCGTCAAACGCAAGCAAAATTAAGCACTTTGTATAAAACAAAACAACCAATAGAAGCAATTTGGTTGGAAATTACAATAAGCACCTTTACCTTTGTAACGACTTGCATATATCGTCCTAAATCGTCAACAACACCAGAGGAAAACAAAGAATTTACCGCCACAGTAGTAAAGGCCTTAGAGTCAAAAATTCCAACATTTCTTTTTTGAGACTTCAATTACATAGAGATCAACTGGGATAAACTTACAGTCTACCCTCACAATCAATGCTCAGAAGATTTCTTTAACAGCTATCAAATCACTAACGCGCATCAGGTAATAACGTTTCCTACAAGATACAGAAATAATGAAATTTCATTACTAGATCTATTGCTGGTTAATGACAAAAGCTCAATATTCAGTACACAGCAACACCCACTAATAGGGCGTAGTGATCATGTAGTGATAACAGCTAAAATACAGATTCAACTGGCTTCTAAGCCAACTAAAAAGATCTATAAAAGAAATTTCTGGAAAGCAAATTATGATGAAATTAACAAGTACATAACTAAACAGTTAGATGCCTGCACATGCCAAATTGATGCAACACAGTTAATAGGTTTAGTGACAAAAACTATTGAGCTACATGTACCCTTAAAACCTAAGCATGTCTATTCAAAGAAACATTGGCTTAACTGGGAAGGTTTAAGCAAACAAATATCAAACGAAAACTTTGGGATAAGTATAAAAGGACAAAAACAAACACAGATTATGATCATTACAAACAACAGAATAATAAAACAAAGCAGATCCTAAACCAGGCTAGGCAAGAATATGAACAGTATTTATTGCAAGCTCCTGGTAAGAAATTTTACTCCTATATAAAACATTCCCTAAACTTCCGTCTCTAAAATTTTGCGCTCAGAAACACTAACATGAATCGGACTACTTACGATGAGACTGAAATTGCCAATTGCTTTGTAGACCAGTTCCAGAGAGTCTTCACTCAAGAAGATAACAACCTACCAACTCTTTCACCTGAACTACACATCGCTGCAGAGATAAGTAATATAGAATTCACCCCAGAAAAAGTACAAAGGCCATTTCTTCTCTAAAGGCGAAGTCTAGTCTTGGTCCTGATGAAATTACATCCCTCTTTCTGAAAAACTGCTCCAAATCGCTCTCCAGTCCTATAGCCACTATTCTAAACTCCATAATGAAAGGAACAACATTCTAACACCAGATCAGTTCGGTTTTCAAGAGCAAAAGGGAACAAACGATGCCATTTTTTCCTTTATGGAGAGGCTTTTTCTGGGCCTTAATGATGGAGAGAAGGCTGCGGCGGTATTTTGTGATTTCTCTAAAGCTTTCGATTGTGTAGATCACGAAATACTGCTGCAGAAACTGAGTCACTATGGGATAAGGGATGGGGGGTTGAGATGGTTTAGGTCGTACCTTGCGGACCGCAGTCAGCTTGTGAGGATTGTCAATTGTGAAGACTCGGGGTTGCAAAAGTTAACTCACGGAGTCCCGCAGGGTTCTGTGTTTGGTCCAGTACTATTCCTCCTGTATATTAATGACTTGGCTACTTTGAGAATATCTGGATCATTCACCATTTTTGCAGATGACACTTATGTATTGTGGAAACATAAAAATGAAATCCTTCTTAGTCAGATAATCGAAAATGACCTTTCAAGGCTTAAGGAATGGTGCGATTCAAATCGACTTGTGTTTAATGTTTCGAAGACCAATATTCTCACCTTTAAATGTTCCCTTGAAAATATAATGCTTCGCAAATCCACATTGAAGAGCGGAGGTGCGGTCAAATTTCTTGGTATGCATATTGACTCAAAACTCAAGTTCGATGTGCATATCGATCAGCTGAACAAAAAATTAGCTCAAGGGTGTTACATAGTGAAATCCATTATGCAAGAGCTAGGGAAGCGTGCAGCGAAATCTGCATACTATGCACTAATCGAATCAAATTTGAGATATGGCATACCATTCTGGGGTTTTTCTGGGCAAAGCACAGTTCATTCGGTTTTCAAATTACAAAAGAGAGCACTCAGGTATTTATGTCGGGCTGGCTGTAGGCAGAGCTGCAGGGCACTGTTTGAGCAGGAGGCTGTTCTAACTGTTCCGGGTATTTTTATTTTGGAGACGTCTTCATTAATTTTTAAGAAATTTAAGGGTAATTCTAGAGAAACACATTATAATCTTAGGCAGAGTAATTTGCCTCTGCCCATACCAAAGTCTTCACTAACAAAAAATTCTGTTATATACGAGAGTATAAAGATTTTTAATAAGTTACCTCATGAAATAAAGAGTATTCATGAGCTTAAAATATTTCGAGAACAACTTAAAATATATTTGATTCGAAAGGTGTTTTATAGTCTCCAGGAATTTTACGATTCATCCTAATTAGTCCTAAATTTTGTTAGTTTGTGATTATATTTGTTAATTTTATGATTTGTTTTATATTTATATTTATATTTATATTGGTTCATATTCTTGTGATATTTTATTATTTTTGTTATTTTAGTTGTGTCTGTCCGTGGCATTCTGATATTTAATTAGTGTCACTTGTATTGATATTTTAACGTGTTTCATAAGCATAATTGTAATAATTGAAGATTTGCTCCTCGATTTGCTCTTTTTGTTCCTATTATTAAAAAAAAAAAATACACATAAGTATATATATATATATATATATATATATATATATATATATATATATATATATATATATATATATATTGTTAAGGGTGAATGCGGAGTGTGTCCTCTGAATAGTAGTTTAGTTTAGGATAAGTCGCTTTGTCAATGGATCTTTTTGAATTTATGACAATAAAGCTTTTTTTGATTTGATTTGATTTGAGCTCCTGGAAATTCTCAATAGTTGTACGAATCTTTAAAAAAGGGGAAAAACTGGATCCATCAAATTACAGACCAATAAGTCTCACCAGCGTACTCTGCAAATGCATGGAGAAAATCTTAGTGAATGACCTAACATCTATTTTACTAGAACAGCAAGTAATACCTGATTCTCAGCATGGGTTCTTACCAGGAAAAACAACATTCACCAACCTGCTGGAAAGATTCAACAAATGGACTCATGACAGTAACAAACCATTTGACATTGTCTTCATAGATTTTGAAAAAGCTTTTGATAAGGTACCTTTCAGGAGACTCCTGCTAAAATCGGAGCATGATGGAATAAGGGGCAATGTGCATAGAGTTATCAGCGAACTTATCTAAGGAAGGACCTTTCAAGTACAAATAGGCAATGTTCTTTCCATTAGTCGCGGGGTGCATAGCGGAGTACCACGGTAATTGCAACTTTGTTGTTTATATTATACATAAGCGACCTTCCTGCAGATCTCGCGTGTGACACCTCATCCTTTGCAGACGACACAAATTTTACGTGCAGAGCAAGTGACCAATACCTACAAATGCAGAGCGATCTTGATAAAATTAAACAATGGACTATACCATGGCAGATGCCACGAATCTAAGTGCACTGTTCTTCACTTAGGAAGAACTAATCCCAATCATAGGTGCACTATAGGAAACACTGAGGTAACTCCAGTCGGAAAACAGAAAGATCTACAAAAAAAGAGACCTCAAATGGGAGTGTCACATCTCAACAACTGTTAAAAAAGTGAACACCTTGATTTACCTTATAAGAGAGTCGTTCAAAAACTTATCTAGTGATATGATACTTAAGCTTTACAGGACATACATAAGACCAAAACTAGAATATATGCAAAGTATATGGAGTCCTTATTATGTCAAAGATATAGATTTTCTAGAGAAAGTTCAGCGAATGGTAACTAAAATCCCTTCAGAGCTCAACGATCTTTCTTATCAAGAACGTTTACAGCGCCTTAATCTTACAACTCTCTACCAAATAAGACAGCGTGGAGATTTGATTGAGACTTATAAAATAACTAGTAGTCATTACAAGTGCAACATCATTAACATCTTTATTCCTGCCAATAATGCGCACCTGAGAGGGCCCAACAAGAAATTAAACAAGGAAAAATGTTCCATTGATTGAGCTCCTAGACAACACTGAGCTAGTTAGAATACTGAGAAGGGTGAAGCCGTTCAAGCTAGTGAACTGAAATCAGAAAACACAACAAAATAGTGCTATAAACACATCAAAATTGTGATTTACAGTTTAGGCAAAGTGGGGAAAACTGTTGAGTGAACCTCAAGAATTGTAAACTTTATAGTAAATTAGGTTAAAACAAAATTGCTAATTAGTCTTACTGACTAGATTGTAATGTAATAAACACAATGTGTTTGACAATAAAAAAAAAAAAAAAAAATTCTTAACAAACAGGGCTGTGTATTCGTGGAGTAACCTAAGTCAAGACATGGTAAATGCCACTAGTGTTAACTCCTTCAAAAATCGTGTAGACAGAGATATAAGTGGAAACAATAACCAGTTTGTCCACTATCCCCAGTAAATTAGTGACAAAATAATACCATATCTGAGATACAATGGATGTGACAATTAATTATGGACTTAAAATTGTGAACTGATATAAAAACCAATCAATAGACTCATCGGCTTTGCCGCCTTCTATTGTAAAAGAATAATAATAATAATAATAATAATAATAATAATATCTATCAGAGTTTGCTCAGCCAAGAAGTCAGTAGATGCCGGCACCAGAAAATCATCCTCTGCAATCCAGTTGACATTGGGAAGATTGAAGTCGCCAAATATGATAAAACTGGCATTTGCATATTTGTTTTTTGATGATTCAGTACTGTTACAAATGACTTGTAAGTAAGTCATCTCAGAGGAACTTGGAGGGATCTATGCTGATCCGATCACGATCTCACAACTGTGACAGATAGAGTGGATCCATATTTGCTCAAATTCAATAAAGTTTGTAGTTGGTATAATCCATCACTGAAAGGTGCTGTCTAGCACTATTAAAACTTTCCCTCCATGATCCATGTTGTATGTTGCATAATCCTGATCAGCTTGGATTATTGTGTAGAGGGGAGGCAATAATTCCAAATTGTTGAAAGAGGAATTTAGCCAGGTTTCAGTGAGGACTATAAAGTCGTAATTGGAACAATTTTAAGGATTTCTTATGTTTTTGTTCTTAGGCCACCCATATTTTGGTAGTAAAAATTAAGAGAAGACAGGGTGGTCTTCGGCTGTGTTTTTTGTACTAAGGTTTTAGAAGAAGGTATAACCATTTGATAAATAAATAATACATATAAGTACATAATAAAACTCCTTACCAATATTTTTCCTGTTATGTGAATGAATGAATCTCAAATTTTGCCTGAACAATTCCTTGCGTAGCATGGCTTCTTCATCGGTAGCATAATTCTTCCTATGTTTGTTTGTGAATTTATTGAACTCGAAATCAACATGACCTTGTCTCTCGGGTTTAATGAATTCTGCCATCGGGTTGAAGGTGTAGATATGTTTGTCTCCAGGCCCAGGGAAGGAGCCACAAGTAAGGTCTGAAACAGAAGTTCAATTTAGGAATGCAACTGTTTAAATGTTTGAATATATTTACTAGATTGAATTTCAAAGATTTGAGAGTCGATGGGGTTGACGTCAAATTGATCATATTGGAGGTAGTAATGGTCGTAATGGCTTCCTAAAAGGCTGTTGTAGCCTCTCATTTCATATCTAAAAAAGTTGTTTGCGTCAAAGTGGTTCTATTCTATTTTTTGAAGAATATTTACCTTACTGGTACTGCAACTTTTTTGTCAGATTCATTTTCATCGCTTTGGTACCTTACCCACAGAACATATTTGTTCTTTTTCTCACCAACAACAGTGGTTAGGTTCCAACGCTCAGTTGTGATTCCTTCAATGACTTCATTACCTGTAATTACAATGAGTTAATTATTTTAAATTTCAACTTATTACCAAGTTCTTACCTGAATATTCAAATCCAGTAAGATCAGGCAAAACAGTTTGTGGTGCAATAGGTTCCTCAGAGGTACCATTAACTTGCAAGCATGTTTTAGCATTTAGCTCTTCTTCAGTTGTTACTGGGGCGATTTTAATGCTGGTACCATAGCCTTTTTTGGCTAGCTGATATGTTTGTACCATATCGCCGTAGTAGTCGATTCTTGATTGTTTGTTGGGGCCATCGTACCAAGCTGAAAATGGCTCAGCGATTTCCGCATAGGGAATGAAGAGGATTGCTTTTACAGAGTAGACGTCGCTCCATGTTGGTGTATCGACGGCGTTAGCTTTAAGAAAAATATTTTTTGATAATCTTATCGTACAGTTTATAATCTGATGAATGGATAAAAAAAAATTTGGAATTTCAAGTTAATTTCCTCAGAAGTAATTTGTTATTGTTTTTATTCTATAGTGGATATATATTATCTACCATAAGTACATTCTTGTTATAAAGTAACATTAATGTGATCACTTAAATAACAAATATCATTCACTTAAAAATAAAACTATATATTTTCAAAAGCCGAATAATAGATTATCGCCAAAAGGTACTACAAAGCAAATATGAATCATTTAATTTTACAAGCTGATATGTTTTACAAGTTGTTCAATAATTCCATTTGTACAGGGTGTCCCACGGTGGATGGTGTATTAGACGTTAATGGAAAACTAAAAAGCGGATTATTTTAAAAATTTGGCAACCGGGATAAACGACCATGATCTACACTTTAAAAATATTTTGGTTTATGCGGTGTTGCCGCTTCTACTCTAAACCAATGACAACATCGCTATTTTAAATGGAAAACCGTGTATGTGATTGCATATTTGAATTCTATGTGAAATTCTAAGCATATTTCATATGATATACCCTATACCTAAGTTCAACTGTTTCGGAAATATTGACAGTTTAAAATTGACTTTTTGCAACTTTGACAGGCTGTAAAACCTGAACGGGTAATTTCAGAGGAAAACTGATTTCACATTCCTATCTTAGATTTTCATAAACTATCATTTAACATCAACTTTGAATTTAACCGGAGATTAAGAATTTTTAATCATGGATTAAATCCAAAATTGGTGTCAAATGATAGTTTATGAAAATCTAAGATAGGAATGTTAAATCGGTTTTCCTCTAAAATGAACCGATTAGGTTATACAGCCTGTCAAAGTTGCAAAAAATCAATTTTCAACTGTCAATATTTCCAAAACAGTTGAACTTAGGTATAGGGTATATCACATGAAATCTGCTGAGAATTTTACGTAGAATCCAAATATGCAATCACATACATCCATTTAAAATAGCGATGTTGCCACTGGTTTAGAGTAGAAGCGACAACATCGTAAAAACAAAAATATTTTTAAAGTGTAAATTATGATTGTTTATCCCGGTTGCCAAATTTTCAAAATGATCCGCTTTTTAGTTCTCCATAAACGTCTAATACGCCATCCACCGTGGGACACCCTGTATGTATAGGCGTTTTGAGAATAAATAACATTATCTGCTCATGCAACGTATTATTTTTCATTGTATATTCAAATAAATCAAATACCATTTTGGGAGTAATGAAATAAAAAAGTTGTAGAAACCATTCAAATCAGACATTTGTAGGAACATCATCAAATTGTAGAATACCTGGGATGTTTCTATACTTAGCTTTGCATTTTCCTGCAGCAATCCTGAAATAACTCCTTCCAAGAAATAAGCCGATTTATTCAATGAAAGCTTATATTGTGTAACAAAAGTTAATTTGTTTGGAACAAATCAACAAATTGTTCCAGAGTAAAATCAAGCATGTGTAACTGTGTTTTTTGATACAGTACGAAATATAATAAAGCTCTTTCTTCTAGTCGTCTTGTGAGTCCCAATATTAGAATTCACAGCCAATCTAGTTAAAGTTATATCTATCAAAGTAATTTTTTAGCATTGAAACCTCGATTGAAACTAAACATTAGAGCAAAATATTGATAACAAATACCAATTTATTATATCTAGAGCAAATATTTCATACAAATAGCAGCCATGCGGTGTTTGATATTTATTAGGATATATTTATGGATAACATATTCTAGATTAGGCTTAAAAATACTTTGGTGAAATTGAAATAATCTACAACCATCCATATCTAAGTTTATTGTCTTTGTCTATAACTTTTTTAAAGACAAAGTATTCATATTTCTTATCTGAATTCGAAATATTTTAATTTTTTTTTCCTGGATAAGATTCAGGATCCAGGATAACAAAGCCATAATCAGAATTGTTGTTAAAAAATAATTGATTCAGTACCCAGTATATTTATTAGATAAACCATTTATGTTTGCATTTATTATGTAATAAGTTCTTACCATTGCAAGCAAAAACCGCAAAACACAGGAACCCAAGAACCCACATCTTTGCACAATCAATTATTATTTCCTATAGTAGTAGGTACGCACTTTCTTCAGTCAGGTACCAAATAGAACTAACGCCCGTGCGACCGTTAAATATTGTTATAAATAAAATACGATTATCTCTACTTATTTATTTGCGATTTGCTGAGGTTTTGTTTATTTTTGTCAAGAGAGCTTTATCGAATTTGACCCCAGAAGGCAGCTGATTGTATAAATCTATAATGGAAACTAGTTTTGATGCCTGCTTTTGTGCTTTTGTATTTCAACGTGCTTTTGTTAGGGATTGCTTCAGCCAGTGGTGTTCCAAGAACGAATTTTAATGATGTTTTTCAGAGTTATTTGAAATTTATTTATTTACTTATTTATTGAACGTATCGACATTTACAAGTAAGATTAATAACTTGAACTAGCTAACCTAAAACAGCCCTTTTTGCGCAACTTTTAAATCTCCTATGTGACATGTTGAAATAATCTAATGTCGCATTTTATTTACATTACGGACACTCTATTGACAGTACGATACAACAAGTACCAAGAATGGCAAATTGGTATATGCATCAAGGTCGTGGTAGGTGTTGGATAGCAAGGTATACAAATCCGGAATGTTTCCAAACATTCCTGACTCTTGATAGGTACTATGGTTCAGGACAATAAATGCGAAACATAGGTATATCATATAGTATTCTCTTCTGCGGCAAAGACATGTTAAATCCAGATATAACATAGTCTAATCATTATCAAGTTCAACGCCATTGCAAAGAAGTTTATATTTAGCATATTTTATAAATTTGAGTTGAACATTTCCCAGTCTCTGTATATGAACCTGATATGGTGACCAAACTATGTTTGAAAATTCCTAAGTGGATCGAACTAGCGACGTATACAACACCTGCGAACCAAATACATTAGTAATAAAGTCCTTGCTGGTTCTTTTAATGAAACCCAATATTTTATCAGACCTACCTATTTTACACTCGATGTGCTCTACGAACATAAGTTTGGTGTCCAAGTAAACGCCAAGGTCCTTAAAAACAAACACCTCAGTAAAAGCAAGATTATTTATGGAAAATTTCGCGGGTATAGAAATTCTCAGGCGAGTGAAGCGCATAAAGCACCATTTGTCGATATTAAATCACATGTCGCATATACAATATTCAGATCATTTTGCAGGAGAAGAATATCATGAGTTGATGGTACGTTCGGAAATATCTTCAAATCATCTGCGAACATTAGAAAATTGGAGGAAAATAGATTACCCAGGTCATTGATGAATGAACTGAATAACAGAGGTCCCAAATGAGATTCTTGAGGGACCCCAGGTGTACCTAACAACAAACTTAGTCGAAAGACCATCAATTTTTACCTGCTGAACCCTACCTGATAAATATGACTCCAACGAAGAAATCAAAGTACCCCCATTGCCATAGCTGATGGACAACTTTGAGAGTAGGAGACTATGATTGACCTTGTCAAAGGCCTTACTAAAGTCAGTATAAATGGAATGTGTCTCACAACCGTTTTCAAATGATCTATTGATAAAGTTAGTGAATAGGAACAAGTTGGTATCGACGGAGAGGCCGGAGGTAAATCCATGTTGCTGATTAACTATGATTTGGTGAAACGCACCCGACAAAACTCCTTCAATACAGTGTTCAAATGCTGAGAGAATACTGATTGGTCTGTAATTATTCACATTGTTTTTGCGCCCTGATTTGCGGATGGGACAAACATATGACAATTTCCAGACTTTTGGAAACACTCCAGAGGTAAGGGACTTCGAAAATATATAATAAAGGGGGAGATACAGGGAGTGAGAGCAAAGCTTTAACACTCTGTTTGGGATTCCATCAGGGCCCTCTTTCTTATTAATGTCGAGTTCAGAGAGCGATTTTTCAATGTCAAATACAGTAATCTGAATATCTCTGAAATTGACTGGAAAAAACACTTCCGTTAGATAGGTATTGCTGTAGGGTTATAAACTGAAGAGAAATATTGAGCAAAGAAGTTGGCTATGTCACAACTATTATCAGCCTCATTCGAGCCAAAACCATCCATTTCCTCAGGAATGGAATAAGTAGAAGTTTGCAAAACAAAGATCTAATATAGAGTTATTCTTATTTACTAAGCAATTAAATTGAGATAAGCCCAAGAACGCAAAAAGATTCGCACAGCAAGATTTCTTTTGCCGACTTGACATACCTGGCACAAGCCTGACATAATCTTCTTCCGGACACCAAGTTAATTGTGACAAATTGTAATCGCCTACAACTAAAAGATTTCCAAATCTATCACAAGCGGAAGATACCATTTCAAGTGAAGTTCATAATATGAAATATCCATCGATGCTGGCACATAAACGCATCCCACACAGTAGGTATACCGAATTGCCAATCGTTATAGATACCCAAACTTCTTCGACTGTAGAATCTCCAACTGACAGTGGGTTGGATTTCAAGAACCTTTTTACTGCGAGTAAGACACCACCACCACAACCTATTGTACTGTTAATGGCACTTCGATCAGTACGATAAACAGTGTATGACGAACCCAGAAACTCGGATTCATTACCAGAGAAATCCGACCAGGTCTCAGTGAATGCATTGACAGAATATTATTCAATAATAGCAGCGCAGAAAAAGTTTTAAGCTTTGTTTTCAGGCCTCTGACGTTTTGATAGAAGATTGATGCACATTCTAAGTCTGACTGTCTCCCCAAATTGCGCTGTTGAAAATTCGCTGACCTAACATTATTTATAGGGCGACGGGCTCGAAATTCTTTAACAGCCGTACCAACAGGCTAAGAATTGGGCTCCAGCAGGCCCTTCTAAAGTAATTCCTTGACCCCTGTCCTGAATGATACTACATCTTCGTTTTTGTCCAGAATAAAACATTTACCGTTAGAAATACCAAGCTGTTGGTTCATATAATCCATTATGTTTCCTTCAGTGGTTGCAGGATCACATCGGCCAAGATATAGCCACTGGCGTCTCTCTCCGGCCGTGAAAGGTACATTCCCAGTACCCGTTCCAATAATTATACGCTCAGACGTGGCAGCAGAAGTCCAGTTCAAACGCGGGTTGGAGTTGGGTAGCACGGGCCTTGGCTGTTGAGCGGATTGTATGTTATTCTTGTATTAGAACCTTTGTCATATTTGTTGGCAGCTTTCAGTCTACTGGGTGGTACCCAGGGAGCCCTGTAGGTTTTTGTCTCTATAGTATTGGAACTTCCCTGTCCCCGTCCCCCATCGGCCCCATCAGTCAGAAATCTAACCAGCTAAAACTATATTGTCGACAACCCGCGATAAATGTGATTCAATAATTTCCGTCTGTGCGTTCAACCCCTGCAGAATTTCTTCCCTCAATCCAGACATTGATTCAGATATAGTCTCCTGGGGTTCACCGACACACGTCAACTCATCGGACACGCCCTTGTTTTCATTAAATGACCTTTTAATTTCCTTTGCTTCCGCAGCCCATGACTCTCTCTGATCCTCAAAATTATACCTACTTGTCCTTTTTTTCCACATTTGAAGGGACATAATATGATGGGAAGAAATATTGTTGCTAATCTTTTAGGCACAGGTGTAAGCAAGGAAAATTTTTCATATAGGAAACTTAACAAAAAGATAGAATCTGTGTAATTTCAATTTGATGGATGCACAATTTAGTCTCATAATATCCACTCAACTACCCTAAGCCTGGAAATACCACAGAGAAACAAGAATAAATTTAATGAACTTATTCTCAAAGAGAATTTATAACTAAAGGAAAATACTATAAGCTATTTCTCTAAATAGTTCGAAAATAAATCAATCAAGATTCGTTTGCCAAAAGTCTCGTTTATTGCACAAATGTTACAATCTAACTAAATTCTTACATACTTTTTTACACCATTTTTTTTTTTTTTTTTTTACGGATATGCGCACTCGCAAGGAAATGTCCTATCACGCTCGAGAAGCGGCGAGTGCGCGGAAATGTCGGTGTATGTTGGTCTTGAAACGGTTCAGGTTGTAACCTGCAGGGAAAACCGTCGCAGGGAGTTTATTCCACAGCGATGCTGTTCTCCAGAGATATGAATTCTGATATAATGAGGTTCTTGGTGCCTCTAGTTTGACAGTAAATTCATGGTTACCGTCTGTTTGACGGGTTTGCCTGGTAGGCGCTACTCTCGGTGGAATCATACGTGCCAACTCTTCAGAGCATTTTCCGTGATAGTACCTGTAGAAGAGAGATAAATCGCCCACAGATCTGCGATGTTCGAGACCATCCAAGTTACGAGTAAGTGCAGGGTCATTGATCAGCTTGATAGCTCGTTTTTGCACGGTGTTCAAAAGCATTAAGGTATGTTTGGGTGCTGCACTCCATATATGTGAGCAGTACTCCATAGTTGGTCGAATCTGGGCTTTGTAGAGTGTCAGCAATTGGCTTGGTGTGTACAGATGTCTTGTACGAAATAGCACCACCAGCTTTTGGGACGCCCTTTTAGCAATATCTGCCACGTGACTGTGCCAAGACATGTTGGTCTCTGCAGTAACCCCCAAGATGTTCAACTGACTCTGTAATGTGACAGCACTTCCAGATAGCATGATGTTTGGCTCACCGGTGCTGGTCTTTTTTGAAAACAGAGCTGCTTGGGTTTTCTGCGCGTTGAACTGTACAAGGTTTTTGTTACCCCAGTCCTCTATTATCTCCAGGTCGTTATTTATCTGCGATATTTGAGTTAGTCTAAGATGATGGAATTCACGTGCGGAAAGACCTGTGGGTGGTATGAGTGAGGAGACTACATTGCCATCGTCTGCAAAGCAATAAAGTGGATTTACTGTTTTATCTATGAGGTCATTTATGTAAATCAGAAAAAGAGTTGGCGAAAGGATTGCTCCCTGTGGCACACCAGCATTTATTTGGTAAGAGTTGGAGTTCTGGCCATCCAGTGCAACATAAATGGATCTGTCCTTTAGGTAACTTTCAAACCAAGTGCAAAGTTTCGGCGATAATCCCATTGCTTTGAGCTTGTTGAGCAGATTTTCATGCCAAACTTGTCGAATGCTTAAGATATATCTAAGGCAATTGTTCTTGTTTCACCCCCCAACTCAATCGCTTTTTGCCATAAGTGAGTGACGTATGTAAGTAAATCGCCAGTTGACCTATATTTTCGAAATCCGTATTGCTTATCGTTGATAATTTTGTACTTTTCCAAGTACTTGGTTAGGTGATT